AAAAAAAAAAAAAAAAAAAAAAAAAACCTTTTTCAGGAATTATAGTTTTAAATAGTAAAAAAAAAATATGTATTTATATTTATTTTGCTTATAATTTCTCTTAAATACTAAAAATTGTGATTCAAGAAAAGTACAAAATAATGAACGCAAAATACTCAGAAAACACTTCATAAAGGCGAACAATTATTGGCGTTTGAGACAGCCGAGGAGATAGTGTGATAGGCGTCTCAATGATGATGATGCCACCAGCCGGCCTGGCGGGCGTTCACGTAGCTCTTCAGGCCCTCGCGCTGCGCAATGGACTGATGGGATGGGAAGAGGTGGGGTCCGCTCGTCTCATAGTTGAGTCCGTTGTGCTGGTTGAAGACATATGCCTTGGGTATCTCCACTCCGGTCGAAACGCTAACGCTGGAGATGCTCTGTCCCGGGTCAACGGATGGAGATACTGCGGGCAGATAGGTGCGACTGGGTGGCGCTGGCGCCCAGCTGGTTGACAGTTGGGGCTTCTTGGGTGGTCCAGCGGGACGATATGGCTTATAGATATTGGGTGGGCCAACGGGCAGCGACGGCTGCTGCTGATTGGGGGAATTGACCGAATTCGAGGGACCATAGGCATTATTCCTCAAGTCGCAGACGGTGTTCTCGATGAGAACGCCGAGCGGAGCGGTATAGATGCGGAAATTGACATCGTTATAGTCGAGATCGGAGAGCAGAAAGACTGGCATACGATCGGACAGCACCCAGACATTCTTGTTCTCATCGATCTTGACGTCGGCGGGAAAGACTAGGCCCACGTCGTCGCGATCCACAATGCCATGGAACTGCGGCGTATAGGGCATCGACGAGTGCCAGCAGCCGACTGCATTCTGATCGATCAGATTGAACAGCTCGATGCCATCGTCGCTCATCACGCGAGCTGTGGTGTGGGAATTGGGACCACGCTCGTCCAAGGCAATGAAATCGTGATAGCTGTCCTCGGTGCGCGACTCGTCCCTCAAGATGCGCGTGGATACCGCAAACTGGCGATGGCTGGCCAGGGGACTGAAGTAGAGCGTGCGATAGCCATCGGAACGTATGGGCGACAGCGCCATACCAAAGATGCCCTCCTCGCCCCACTGGAAGTTCAGGCCGGCGATGTTGTAATCGCCACGCAGTGGATCCGGGAAGAAGTAGGAGTGTGCCGAGAACCGCCAGGACTTGTTCTGCTCCCAGGAATACGTGATCAGGCCGTAGCCCAGCTCATCGGAGAAATATGCCATTGCATCATCGCAGGTCTTGCCCACGTCCACAGCTATGTTGGCAATGAACGTGTTCGGGTTTGTGTCCTCGGGGCGCAGTTCGTAGCGTCGGATTCTCGTATTCGTGGTCAGATCGAAGACGTTCACGGCGTACGGGCAGGGATTGGTGGTGGTATTGCCAATGCCCACGGTGCCCGTGTCCAGCACCCAAAGCCGCGCGCATTCGTCTACCTTGATGCGGTACGCTGTCGTAATGCTGTTTGCGCAATCTCCAGCCGTATTGCTGCGCCAGTCCGGATACGGTATGAGCTCCGGCGAGCCCGACAGACTGCGATCCATATTGATGTAGGTTAATGTAGCCGGAATGCCTAAAAGACATGAGCAAAGTTAAGTATTAGCCCGAAATCGCAAGGAAAGTGTTCAGTAGAATGAGCATGTGGATCGGACTATCGATGAACTGAAGGCAGTCCTTTCCACAATATATAACTCGAGTCTAGGATCATTAGCGGTAAGCCATTGGACAATGAATGCGAACACAGATATTCAGTGAAGCTCGAAGATAAAAACTCGACAATTTGCAACGATTTCAATTTCCAGCTGCAGTCTTGGCTATCGAAAATGCAACTTTCTAGTCGGCTGGCGATTGATGTGTTATGAGCTGGACATCAATCAGTTAGTCAGTCAGTTAATCAGACACTCAGCCAGCCGAGAGAGAGAGAGAGAGAGAGAGAGAGAGACAGAGAGAGTCAGTCAACTGCTGTGTTTGATATGAGACGTTGTCAAGTGAGTCGAAGCAACTTTTTCTTGGCTAATGCGCGGACTCCTCGATTCCTCGACTTAAATTAAATGCCAGCAATTTCCGTTGTCATTAGCCACTGCATCATATCATCATCATCGCCATCGTCATCGTCATCGTCATCGTCAGCGTCAGCGTCAGCGTCAGCGTCGTTCATATCGTCTGCGTTTCCGCTCCAGTTGACAAGCGCAACTTTAACCAGTTGCTGCTGGTAGCGGGCGTGTGCGACATCGCTCGCACTTGTCTTGGCTAATTCTATGAGTGGCATCGACCTACAGCTGTCCCCACAAGCATTGCCACAGCCAACAGGCAACAGCCAACAGCTAACAGGCAATAGCTAACAGCTAACAGCTAACAGCCAGCAGCTAACAAGCAGCCCCCTTCTCTGCCCACGGGCAATCAGCAAAATGCATTTACAAAACGCGAGCTTGAATAAGCAGCATTTCACAAATCCAAATGCAGTTAGCTAATTCGATTTAAGTCTTCGTTTCCGACTGAAGTTGCTTTTCATTCGCTCGCATTGGCAGGGTATATGCTAGTTGGGCTAGTTTAGCGTGTGCAAGAGATGGATACGCTTAGAATGAGGAAATGATACTTTTGATATGCAGCAGCAGAAGCATTGACCTCATCCATAACTGTGCATTGGTTACATAAATCGATAAATATCGATTTTGGGCAGACAGGAAATACAAGATTTGTATACGTACATATATGTATATGGCATTTGCAGTGTAACATATATGGAAAAAGAAATCGATAATTATCGATGCCTAGTTGGGGTCTCCATAGGCCGCACATTTATACATTTGTAGCACTGCCAGACGATAGAGCTCAGATCTGGTACTGCCTGAAGTGCAATTGAAGTCTGGCAAGACTTTCAGCAATGGCAAACGGCAGGAGTCATTGCTTAATTAGTTCTATTGCAGCATTTACTCTGGAATGGAAAACTTGTATTTGCTATCGATCTAATCATCTATTTAAATGCATTAGGCCTGTCATGGAATCTGAGTTTAGTTTGGCTTTCAGCAAATCTTTGCCACTTCAAAATTCCAACTCCGACGGCCGACGGCCGACGGCCGACTCCAGCTCAAAACTCAATCTGGAATGTCTCGCCCGATGTTTGTGTAATCTGTTTCGTGTGATGACAAATGAATACCCTGTTCACTTAACAGCATAAACAACTTTATTTTGTAGCCACTGCATGCATGTGTCAGCTGCCTGTCAGACTCGATGCATAATTGTGTCCATCCGTCTGTCTTTCGGTGTTTCGGTTTGTAACGCTGATCTGGTTATATGTATTTCTCCGCTCAGCGGACCTGTTCCCATGCATTATAAACAGTAGCGCAATGAGCGCATTTTAATAAACATTAATTTTGGTCGCTTAGCGCGTTTGCAAGTGGTTAAAAACCAATGAATTTACCATTAGCCAGATAACGCCGTCTCCCTCTCTCCCTCTCTTTCTATCCCGATACATCTCCCCGTCTCGCTCTCTCTCGCTCGCTCTCTCTCTCTCTCTCTCTCTCTCTCTCTTTCTTTACCGCCATGTGTGTGTTCGCATTTCCAGTATGTCAATAGCAATGAGCGATCATTGGCGCGCCAAAAGGAGGCGCATTGAGACATTCGGTAGCTGTTGATATCAATTTGTAATTCAATGGCTCCAAGCTCATTGAAATTGCAAAAACAAAAAAAAAGATGAAAAAAGGTAATCGAATCGAATCGAATCGAAGCGAAGCGAATTGAATCGACATGCCACAAAATAATTATAATTTGTTTTTTCTCTTGCAAATCGGCATCGAAATCCGTTTTCATTAGGCTTTAAATTATGTGGGAAACGCGCGATTTGTAAGCGAATTTCAATTCGCCAATTTAATTTGCATTCGGTTCTGAATAATTGCACATTCGAAATGCATTTATCAGCACTGATCAGGTTTACTTTAGTCTAACACATTTACTAGAGTAGTTGGAGACAATTTAATAAATTTATTGAAAACTTAACGATGACAGCGATTTGATATGACTTCATAAGAATTTTCGTTTTCTAGCACTGCTAATTGATGCTAATTAAGCAAAAGATTTGTCGACGTTTTCAAACACTGGCCCATTACCAAATCAATTTGAGACAGCTAACATTCCTAATAAGTGGATATCAAATTAAATACCAAAGTCGACTAGTGTCAATGAATGCCAAACATATTTCATTATCCAGCACTGACAATGGCCAAAGTGAAAATATTAAATCGATTGCTTGAGCCTGCGAAATCCTTAACAATCCCGCAAAAACTCGATATGAACAGAGACTAACGACAAATTCCATCTCTAACTAGTCGCTTTCGTTTTCCAGCACTGTTTGCATGTCAAACTTGAATGGAATGTGAGTTAGGCTTAAAGTATTTGCATTCAACTTGTCAAACCGAAAATATTTCCATTCAACATAATTAAGTTTGTCGCGTAAAAGTTGTATTGTGTGGCAAGATTTGCTGACCAGCACTCGCATATATCAATAGGTATATTGTTGTAAAAATTGAGAAGTAAGTATCTTGTTTAATTTGGGAGCCTGCTGTTCTTTGGCCAACCGACAATCGCGTTGTGATTCATTCTTTTTGGACCAACTCTTTTTGTAAGGGCCTGAAGTTGATTGATTTGTTAATGTATTAATGAACATTTCAATGGGAATCGAAATTGAATTGAAATGAGCGGCCGGGCACTTGGCTACCTGGTAATACCTTTTGTATCTGTCAACTGACTGCGCTTGTGGCTATTGAAAGTTGTGAACTCCACTTAAGATTAGCTAATTGATTTGGACTTAAGCCTCATTTTACGGCTTACTTTCGCTTTCGTTTACTTTGCCCCACCAAGTTCGACTGAAGCCTATGCGCCCACTTGCCACTTGCCACTCGGCACTTGGCACTTGGCTTTTGGCTTTTGATTTGGCCGACCTTCTTGAGGCGTTGCCAGCGGTGCCATTCCAATATTCATATTCAAATGCCATTCCTCAAATGCGGCCCAAGGCTGCGGTTGACTTGTGAAACCTAGAAATCTGCTCATAGATATTGATTAGGACCTAAGACAAAGCTGTCAATATTTCTGTACAGTTTCTTTCTTGTGTTGAATTCGTAAATATATTAGACTCGACTGCGTCTCATTTACAGTTTAAGGAAGAACGTCGGAAACTGAGGGATGGAAGCGAAAGTATGGAAGGTGAAGAATGAAAGATCATGGATAAACTATTATATAAAAGTTGAAGTATGGAAGACTGGATATGAAAGACTGGATACTTCCATATCATGGATATGAAGAATAGAGGATTAAAGATGAAATATGAATGATGGAAGATGGAAGATTGAAGATGGAAGACGGAAAATGGATTATGGACTATGGATTATGCAATATGGAATATAGAATATGGAATATGGACTATAAAATATGTAAAACGATGGAAGATGAAGAATGATGAACGGATGAAAGATGGCAGATGGAAGCTGTAAGCTGGAAGTTGGATTATGAACGATGGATTACAGAGTATGGATCATGCAATATGGAATAACAAAGATGGAATATGAATGATAGAAGATACAAGTTGGATTATTGAAAACGGATAACGAAAGAAGATCGATGAAAAGAGAGAAAGATGAAGCACGCAAAATGTGATATCTTCTATAATGCGATCTCTCTACCTATACATCAATGAAATTTTCTTGCACTATTCCAATACTCTTGCGTACAGGAAGCACTCAACAGCTTGGTGAATTATTTAAATTACATGTCGAATATTGTGTTGTATAATTCAAGTTCGTTTTGCAGATATTTCCTTGACCATTTGGTAAGCCAATTGTCATATCGTGCAGAACCAACCAGAAAGAAAAACGAGCCAAACAAACAACTCAACACAGCACATTATTGCATTCAACTATTCAAACTTGTTGCACTCGAATGCAGCTCCAACTCTCACTTGGAATCGAAACGCAGCTAATTGTTTACTATTGCCATTTAGGTATGTTCAGTTTGTTTTTTTTTTTTTTATTGGTTTTTTTTTCTTCAAGGCTGTGATGAAGCCTTCACAATTTTCTTGTTTTTTTTTTCATTATTATTGTTTTTTTTTATTTATTTATAGTTAAATTGGCTTTTCATAAATTGTGTGTGGTAAATTTTTGTGAGCCGCGCAATGCCGCTTTATTGTTATATAACAACCGTTAGAATTGGCTGCTAATTAAATTATGTTTGGCTTAATTGAAGTACGGAATGACTTGGTTTTTCTTTTGAGCACCGAACTCAACTTGGCGATGGCACAAACACTTTAGCTTAAAATATGTTTAAATTAATGTTTACATTAAATATTTGTAATTTGTGAAGATAATAAACATAATTTAATTATAACTGAAGAAATTAAATTGATATATTTTAATGTTTTAAATTCGTCATATAAAATTATATCATTTTTGAAAGGACAACGGAATGAAAATTATTTGTGAGCTCTTAACAAATTTTTATGTATTAACCAGAATATAAAAATATTTAAAAACACGAATACAATTATGATATGCAATTACAAATTGTCTTTAAAATTTTTTTCGTTTTTTAATGAAAACCAAAAATATAAATATTTGAGTTTCAATTAGTCCACTTCAAGCTATTACTTTTCCGTTTTAGGAGAATTGTAAACTATTTTAAAATAAAAAAAATTTGAGGCATAATATATATTTATGAATA